TCCAGCTGATGCATCATCATATGGGTTATCACATGGCAAGGTCCCGTTGGATTAAGGGAATCTATGTTATTTTCTGACACAGCAGACCCGGGATGAGACTGTACAAACAGACTGATTTACACATAGCATTGCTATTCAATACTGATTTGGTCAGATGTCTGGCCTCATGCCTGCTTACTGCAGCTAAGAGTAAGCCCCATGGAAACATGACTGCTACTAGTATGATAACATGGGAACCTAATGTTAGAGTAATGAACAAAATCAACCTCCAATTCTGCATAAAATGAAGTTGTAATTCTCTAACAAAGTACCACTGACACTGTAATTCTCTAAGATTCAATCAGTTTTCATGTAATAAACAACATACACTAATTACCTGAGTCCAAGTGGTGCACTTGGCTCTTGACCTCCCCCAACCCTGACCCTTCACAAATGTTTTCTAGAGCAGATCAGAAACAGTTAAGGAACTAAATTTTTCCATAATACTTGTTTTGTGTTTTAACCAGCAACGCAAGCTGAAGGATGCAGCATCATATTAACAGAGCTGTATTTTCAGTAGAAACAACCAAGAGGGAACAGCTTCAGAGTTACCTCCAGGTGCCAAAAAGCTCACAAAGTAGCACAAAACCACTGAGCGTTTCTGAGGTACGTGCATAAAGAGAAGTGCCAACTTGCCAACTTATTTTCTCCACTTAGTCTTTTACACAGAAAACTCCTATATTAAAAAGGCAGCTGGGCAGGGAGGGCAGAGGGAAAGAGATGGAAAGCCTAAATCCATGTTTCAGGCAAGACAGAGATTTAGATTTCCATTTAGGGAAGGCATGTTTACCAGAGTGCTCTTTCCTCAATTAAAAATGGATGCTTTTCAAATGGTTGGGATGATTAAAAAAAAAAAAAAAAAAATCTGGAAGGAACCATAGCTGCTTTCTAGGCTTAGCCTGTCACAGTACTAAGCCCACTGCTGAGTTCAGTGCCTGATTCACCCTGCTAATTGGGAAAAATGCAGAAGTGCATCCTACTCCCTCAGTTACTCACACACTATTTAAGTGGCCACACTCTCATACTCACTAATGTGAAGACAGCTTTGTTTGTGGTGATGCATTTGTTACTCATCTAATTAAGGTGGAATAAGCCCAGACCTCTATTCAGGAGTGTCAACAAAGAGCTTAAGCAAAAAACTGTGTGTAGAACCAACACTGTGCTTAAGTTCCTTTACGAGCTACTTAAAAAATCAAGGGCAGAGCTGTGCCCCAAACTGTGCCCTGCACTGAGCAGCCTGGTGTGATGCCTGCTCCTCGCTGCCAGGGCTCTCAGGGAGGAAGGGCTGCAGAGGAGCTCTCTCCAAGCTCTCAGAGACAATCAGACCAGAATAACAAGCTCTTTTAACAAAGTAGAGAAGTCATTTCTGGCATTTGAGTTTAACAACATAGACCATGAGCAACCACTTAGGACTAGAAACAGGGAAAAAAAAAATGTCAATCTTAATAAAACAAAAATCCTGTGATGGGAACAGAGCTTCTAATGTAATCTGTATTACTGAGTACAGGGCTCATTAAACACTTACCAAGGCAGGATTTCTGCACCTGGCTTGGCTGCCACGATTCTCCACGCTGCCAGCCCTCTCCGTGCTCCCAAGTGCGTGCTCTGGAGAGATCTGGGATGCCATTTCAGGAGAATCCGAGAGGAGATTTCTAGGCATCACACTTCCTTGGCTCGTCAGTCCCGATGCGGCACTGAAATCCATCAGCGTGTTACGTGGGGCTGGTGGCTTTGTTCATGTCTGGGAACAGAGAACAGTGTGGCACCTTTAAACCTGCTGGTTAAAAGACTTGAAAAGGAACAGAAAATAAGTGGTAAAGAAAGATCCCACACAAGCTAATAAAGGGCTTATCTTTATGCTCTGGAGCACATCTACCACTTACGGGCACCTTTTTAAAAAACTGTTTTATTCAAAAGGTGTGACTTAAAACAAAACAAAACAAAAAATTGAAAGAAAGATTCTGTGCCCCATATCTTGTGTGCTTCCAAACCAGATGTATACAGGTAGCTACAAGCATGGACCCTGCATACATTTCTACTACAGATCCAGTTTGTGTTTTCCAGCCTGACACATCATTAACAGTGATAAAATCCCACTGGCTGAGATATCAACTGGCCCAGCTCAAGTAGCTTTATTGACTTTTACACAAGAATTCTATTTATTGGATCACACCAGGGAAACAGAACCCAGTTCAGTTCCTATCACTGCTGCAGATAACTCACATGTTCCTGAAGCAGCTCTGTGCCACCTACCCCTGGTGAAAGATCCACGAGCAGAACTTGGTGCCGCTTTTGCACCAACGCGTTACAAATTGCATTTTAAAGCTTAAAGAGCTTCTATTTCATTCAGCCATGAAGAAACAGCACTTGTACATTTGGAAGACACTTACTGGAACAGACATATGCACCAGCACTCACTGCAGCAAAAGCCCCCAGGTTTTTAAGCTACCCCAGTGCCCAGTTCTGTAATCCCATTCTGAATTGTCAACATCTCCCAAAACACTCCGGCAGAACTTTTTCCTTTACTCTCAAGGACACAAAGACAAAAGTCATCTCAGTGCACTAACAGCATGAAGAGGGGGTAGGCAAGGAGTAGAACCCAGCTCATTTCTCGCTCCGATACATTAAGACATCCTTTGCAACAAGAAATGGCCTTGTTTTTTAGCAGTCCGTCTTTTCCCCCGCCCTGCCCGTGACCCTTGAACAGCAGCGACACGTTCCTCAGAGCAGCTGGCACCACGTCAGACACAGCCAGCTGGGAACTGGATACCACCACCCCGACACGGCACAAACGAGATGAGACGGTCCTGCTTCCCAAGTGCTGCTCCCTTTATTGTGGTTCGAGAGGCGACACGAGAAGCAGAGCCCAGCCTGCATTTCCAATTCAATGGGATTACTTCTCCTGGCTCCCCGCCGCTGTGGGCCGAGGGCTGGGAAACCAGAGCCTTCTGGTGAGCTGATTAGTGTTTCATAGCAGTGAGATAACATCTGCCAGCACTGAGCAACAATTCCATCCCGCTGATCGCCTCCTCCCAGGAGAGGGCTATGACATTACCAGGGGTGCGTCGCCTACGCCGCAGCACCAACAGTGTGTCCTGTGGGAAAAGCTCCCACACAATGCAGCCAGGCTGCACTCCACACACTCTTGGAAGCACATCCACAATCCACAGCCCCGGATTGCCACAACAAAAGTATCGGGTAGCCTTTCTTGTGAACATTAGGTCTTAACGATCGAGAGTTCGCAGTGCTTTTACACAAAAGGAACCTTCTTCCTTCCCTCTGTTAATAACTTTGGCTATAAATAGATACAAAGCACCCTCAGGATGGGCTTTAAGTGATGACGCAGAGGTAGAAACACGCTCGTGGTCCTGGTTTTGACACCTGCAGGACAGACGGACGTGGGAGCACTGAGGCAGCCGCTGCATATCCAGGCAGAAAGATAAGTGGGAAAAGAGCAGCCCAAGCCTAGAACACATCCTGCAACAGCAGCTCCATCTACAACAAACCCTGTGGTGCTGAACAGCCTCACACGAACACCCCCACACAAGAAAATAGGTCATTTTAGAAGCCAACATTATCAGTGAAAATCTCACCCCACTGAAATCCTACACAAACACACAAATATATATAATTTTAAGAAGAGAAGACATCAGAAAAAAATCTAGACACCTCTGAAACTCCCACTGACTTCAGATTTCATCACCTATGACTTTCAAGGTGATGTTCAGATGGAAAAGAAGGACCAGCAAGAAGTGAGTACTCCTACTGACATCCAACATAAGGCAAACACTATTTATTTCTCATCAGCACTTTTAAGCTGCAGCACCCATTTTTATCCAAGTGTCCCCCGTATAAACTGACCATACCATGTCTGTTCAGTCCCTCAGTGATGTGTTACAGACCACTGGATTTCTAGATTTATACTCACAACTGTGAACATTTTATAGACCACATTATAAGAGGTCATAACTGCAGATTACAATAGATATCGTAGGCAAGATCCACATTTGAAGACTAACCACATGCAGATATTAATCCAAGTTACCAAGAAACCAGTCAACAGGCCCAGGCTTTGAGAGAAAAGTATTTAAGAGTATTGTCCTTTCTCCAACAGCAAGACCTTGTATAACCAGGACCAAGTTTCATGCTGGGCTATCTTTATCCAGGACAGCAGGAACACCCACGCTCAGCAGTAATAAACTTTAAAGCCACAGGTTCTAAATAGCAACAAATAACTCTGCTTCCAGCAAGCTCCCATTATTCATCCTGGAGCTCCAGCTCAGATGTTTCACCAAGCTCCTGAACAATGACTAAAGAAAGGCAGGGAGAGAGACTGGATCAGAGAGCTGCCCAAACAAGAGCCAGGACCAGGAATTACAGCCCCAGTCCTGCTTTTGTGTTGGAAGCTGTGGCTTCTTTGGGGGTTTTACTCATTTTAGAAGAGCTTGGGAGCTGTGCAATAGCCCATGAGCCCACAGAAAGGGTGTGGGGGAAGATCCTTTTTCCTTTTTATCCTTCACATCATCTTCAACACTTTCAAGGGTGCGTGCCATTAAGATCATAACCCATTCGTATACATTATTTCTTCTCCTCTTTCCTGTTTTTTTTTTTTTGTTTTGGTTTGGTTTTTTGTGCTCTCAGAAACTCCCACACCTCTGTACAGTGTCTGGCACAGCTAGAGCTGACGTGAGGCTGACTGGCACTGCTGCAATGCATCCAGCATTTGCTTTACAGACAAATTCCCCTCCTAACCATGCCTAACACTGAAGCCCCTTCACCCTTTCCACGTCCCCTGTATTAAGTGAACGACTTTATATATTTAAGATCCGGGTTCGATTCCCGGTCGGGGCCCCTCCCCGGGCAGATGGAGCTCGTTAGCCCGTAAGGCAATCCATCTACATCCTGAGGACCTCGCTGCCACCGTCCAAGTGTGCTTGGCCCCGGCAGATGAACCTCAGGATTAAAGGGTGAGCTCAGTTCCGCGCACACTGTGTCTCACCTAAAAAATCCAATGCGCAGGCTGGAAGGTGGAAAGACCTTCCCCAGTTCTTCGTTCGCGAAGAGACTGGCCATTACATATATTTAAGATAGAAACAGTGAAGAATCTAACAGGCTTGCAGACCCCAGTGCCTGTTTCAGCAGGATTGCCAAGGTAACCAGCCAGGGTTCCAAACTAAGGTAACTGTGCTCAGAGAGAGCAGGAACAGCAGGATGACAGGCGGCTGTTCCTCCTGACCTTCAGAGATGCATTAAATATGAAAGTTGCTCGCAGTGGGATTTGTTGTTCAGTCATTGCGGTGGGGATTTTTTTAGCTTGGTTTAAGAGATGTGTGCCTGCACCACTAGGGATTAATAATAAGAAGAGACCAGACCATGACACAGGAGTGCAGAAGTGTGACAGGAACAATGCTATTTGGAGAGATGATCCCAAATATTAAACCAAAAAGACATCTTAGGGCAGATGTGATTTTATCAGCCGAAGTAATCACTTCTTGCTTACACTGGAGGTAGCCTTCATGAGATATTTAAAACAATACAAGTCACATATCATGCATGTTTGTCAGAGGGCAGCAGGAGGAAATTGAAAAATTCTGAAGTTAGCACTGAATTTCACCTCCAAAGATTTAATTTTGCTTTGACACAGGCACATAATTCAAACAGAATGTATTAAGCTGCCATCAAAGATAAGATGAGGCCTGTCCTTCCAAAAGGGATATTTTTATAGCTCTGCTGACTAAGGTTACTCCTTTGCTGAAGCTCAGTGTTAGCATTTACAAGGGGCCGTTTCTGTAGTAGCAGGAGATGGAAAAAAAAAAATTGTTTATTAACTATCCTGTTTGAAGACGAGCTTCATAGGCAAAAAGATCAATCCCACAGAAGTACAAGACATTTAGATGCTAAAAACTCAACTGCTACATAAGCCAGGAGCCAGCAGAGAGCATCATGCCATTAACTGCACAATAGATTTAAGATGAGTTGACAAAATTTAGAAAACCATCATACATTTTTAAAAGGGCACCAGACCAGTCTGTCCCCTTCACCACACACACAGTTTCTGGAACACTCTTTGCAGGAAATGTTTGTCATGATAGATTTCTAAGCCTCAACCGTACTCTGAGCATTTCATACACCTTGCCTGTTCTTAACCAGCTGTTCCTCAGTGATACAACTGAAACAGCAATGGCACACCCAGCTCTGTGCACACTGTCACTCGTCTCACACTCTGTAGTGGTGGTGGAGCTTGGAGGGAAATACTCTGTGGTCACCTGATGTGTTAACATGGCATGGGTTTATAAACCTGATGGCACAGGGGCAGACTGGAGACCTGGACCTCTCTCAGCCTCGGACAGCTGGCAGCAGAGCACGTAGAGCAAGGCAAGGGAGAGGAGGAATTCCTTCAGATTCCTGCGTGTTGTGGTCAGGAGACCAAAACAGGCCAGGTATTTGTGTCTAATAACCTCATGAGTTTTTCCTCGTATTAAGTGCTCCTGCAACATACCTTTGAACCTGCTGTACGAGACCAGAGCTGAACAAAACCAGCTGGTCCACGACTCGTCTCCACTGAGCCACTGCTGCTCCAAACTCCTCAGAACTCACTGATGGTTAGTTATGGTTATAGTGGACACATTCCCTCCTTCGGAGCTATCAGCAACTGAATTCTTCTTACCTTCTTTAGTATATGAAACACTGAGTAAATCCTTGAGCTGTCCTACTCTTGTGGTATATAATGTTTAAGCTTTCTAGTAGAAGGATCTTGTGGTATATAATGTTTAAGCTTTCCAAACCTCACAAACTTCAGGAGCACACAGGATGGCCAGAGAGGTTTTGATGAGCACATGAAGCCCAGAATCAGATAGTAAATTTGTTCCTGCAGAAAAAGTCAAAACAAAACTGAAGTAACAACTGACATAATTTGATGTTTAGGAACCAGGGTTGTCCAACATGGTTAAATTCTCCCTTTTCTTCTCCATACCATAAGCGTGGAAGCTTAGGATAATGTGCTGTTTTACTATGATTCACATTTTATCTCCTCATGAAAAATCCTATCTGCCCGAAACAGTCATGGCCATTTAACATCCAGCAACCAGGAAATGTTCCTGCCCTTGTTTAGAGAGGGAATGCCATCAGAGTATGGTCAGACAAACAGAAATGCTGACCATTAATAAAAAAAGAACAAAAAATACACACACACACACACAGAGACTATGCCAGTATGGTCCTCTAAATGAAAGCCAGGCCAGCAGCATTTTTATAGACACTTCCTTAGGCATCAATGCTGATTGATATTTTCAGAATAGGTGACAGGTAAGACTGAAAAATGTTTAGCCAAGTATGAACTCAAGGTGCTCTCATGGCAGCCCATGACAAGACATGCAACTACTTCCAAAGGAAAGAGAGTGATAACAACCCCATAAGGCTCCCAGAGTTCAATGCATGCAACACTGATATTTTGTTTTAAACTTTCTGGTTTCTGTGGTGCGCTTGGGACAATTCAGACTTTCCTCTTCAGGCTGGAGAGCTACAAAATCCATTAGTTTAAAAGCTAAAAACAAAGATTCTCTCAGTCCTCTAAATCTGGAAGCTGCAGCCTCAAGAAACACACTGAATGTCATTCATAAAACTAGTGCTAGAATCTGTGAGAGCTGCCAACGGTGAAATAATTAATCCTGTGTACACAGGTTTTTAAAAGAACTAGATGGGCAAGGCACCAATTCAGTAAAAGTGAAATCTGTCTGACTTCACCGGGACATTTCATCACACGCTGAAATGGTTCAGAGAATTGGATCTCAAATTAGATGTAGCAACCACTTAAAAAGAAAGGAAACAATCACAAACTAACATTTTCATCACCCAAGTAATAATTCAATCACTTCACCGAATTCTCCAAATCATGCTTTGCTCCGAAACAACGCTTCAGGTCACACCTTTGACCGCCTTAATCCAAGCCTCAAGACAGCAGAAAAAAAAAAAGGATTCCATACCGTGCTTTGTTCTCAACTGGTCTTTCTAGCTTTTCAAGAACAGCTTTTTTACTTTTTTGAAACCCTATGTTTCAGAAACTTAATGTTACCTGCTGAAGACAACCGAGCCAGCACCAGAGCCTAAATCCTCAGTACCTCATCCTTCTCTCTGCAGCGTTTGGGAAACGCTGCTTCTTTTAAAGCAGTGGAATACTAGTGCTACATCAATTTGCTACATCAGCAACAGCTTCACTGAACACTGTTGCCCAAAGCAAAGGCCAGTGGCAAAGGCTCATACACAACATTGCGGATTAAACCACCAAAGATCCCTGAAGTGCTCACATTTCCCACACCAACAGAATCCCTTCCTGCCCCAACTAAAAATAAAACTACAGCCAGTGACAAGTAGTTACCTCTGCCCAGGTTAAGGTCTGACCTGAGGACAACCATAAGGCTCTCACTGGTCCACTCCAGCTGAGATTTGATGACCAGTTGGCTCAGTTGGGAGAAGTGCATGGGATACCCAGAGCTGTCTAGTCCAGCATCGTGTGGGGCTTTAAACACATCCAGGTGATGGCTGAGCTCACCTCCGACTTCAAATGCCCCTTATGCAAATTTCAACCAGCAAAGCGTCCCATTCTTTCAAAGTTACTCCTTTTAAATCTGCCCTGTTAACATCAGGGTGGTGCTATCTGTGACAGCCGGCGCTTTAGAAACATCAAGTGTACATAAACAATTTCGGGCAGAGACGCCTCTGTAATTAGCCAACTTCTGTCTTGCTACAGGTGCAGCATCGCTGGGGTTTAGGGTTTCATTATGTAACTACAGTCATAGCAATGGGGAGCCAAATCCTGTTTTACAGAGCATTTAAGACAGCAAGATAATTTTCAGCCCCGGTATGGCTGTGCCACTGTCACAGCTGGATTTTAGGCTGCTTTCTTATGTTTCTTTTTGTGACTGCTGTGTTGGTATAAGAAGGAAGGCAGAAGTCATCTGAAGCACAAAGCAGAGGTGTTTACTTTAAAAAAAAAAAAAATCAACTAATTTATGGGCATTTCATTCCTATGTAAGTACATAAAGGTCTGCCTGCCCAAAGTAAATAGAGCTGAAAACAGCACTGGCAAAACAGAGCTGTAAAGTCTTGCCCTGGACTTTACTTGGTACAGGTTTAATTCATGCAAACCCAATTGAAAATGATATATTTAAGCAGTTAGTTATACTGGGAATTAAAATTACTTGCTTTTATTTTTTAATTAAAAAAAAACAAAAACAAAAAAAAAACAGAGGAGGGAGGACTTAGTAACAGCCTGTCTGGCTGGCTTTGAAAGCCACATTCATATGCTCATTTATTTTCATGCTCCAGTATTTTAGAAGGTCAGTCAGCCTGAGACTTGTCAACTGCTCAGGAGTTAAGTTGTTCCAGTTACTATATCCAACCAGCAATCCCTTTGCCAACATTCTTGGTTAATATTTCTCTCTGAGGCATGCAGAGAAAAAGCTGCTATGACTAACAGAAGAGAGGAGTTTTACTACTGACAAAACAGAGACACAATATAGAATCTCCCTGTTCCTTTCCAATGCCAGGCATTACTTGCACTTCTAGTCATAAAACTTCATTTTACTCATTCACTTTCCATAGTAAAAGCCCCAAACAAATCCTTGATAAGAAAGGCACTGCTGGAAAATCTATTCCATTTCTGAGAAATAATTAATAACTTCACTTCCTGGAAATCCAAGCGAGCAACACTTTTTCCCCTCCTTTTACTGTTTAAACACCAGCTCCCCCCTTATACAACAGTAATTACTGCAAAGGAAGGAAAAAAACCACAGTCATTATTCTTTAAAGTAGTACCTGTACAAGGAAGTCCATCTGCAATGCTGCATTAGTCAAGGATCTGTGGCAAAGTCTTAAAATAATACCTTTTTATTAGCCTAAGCCAGAAATTGCGAAAGCTTTTAAAGCTAAGACTTAAGCTTAAGGGTTTGGAAAGAAGTCTTCCCTTCTGTGCCTTTCACAGAGGGAAGGGGAAAGGAAATAGCTGTTACATTTCTGATACTTGTTATGGCTTAAAGTACTTGCAAAATCTTTGGAAAGATAAGAGAGCCTCCCCCAAAATCTCTTTCGCATTTCATCTGCATGCTTGTTACCGCAGGAATCATCTCTCGCTACACCCATGCACAGGACCAAGCACAACAGAGCTCCACTTCCAGCAACCTCCTCTCGCTGCCACACTAAAACAAAAACTATTCAGGAAACATGCCCTTGAGATCCCGGATTACTGAAAATCCCGAGAGTGTTTTTAAGGCTGTGTTTTCTCTTTGCCCATACTAAACCTCGCCCGAACCACCTAAGATTAGGATCTTAAGGAGCACCAGCCATCTCATGCTTACCACCTCCAGATGGAAAAAGCACCTGACGGGGGGAAGGGAGGGGGAAAAAAGTATTTTGAACTAGAATGTGCTACTGTTTACACCAACAGCTTTTCCGATGGTAACGTGGAATTGCAGTCAGTCAGAAAGCCAAGAGGAGGCAGAAGGCAGCTGCTTCCCATCACCCTCAGTCCGTCAGGTACACCTCACATCCAAAGTTTAACCGCGAACGGGTACGAGACCTTTACTTAAACATATTTTCTTTAAGCTGCCAATTAGCACAAGCAAAATGTTTTTAAGTTATCACAGGGAAGAACGAGAAACCCGTGAGGGGCGAAGGGAGGGGGAAGGGGGGAATTCTTAACAGCTCAACGGTGGGAAAGCAAACCTCACCCAGAGCAGGGCAGTAGTTTGTTGTGCCAAAACTAACCCAAGCCCAAAGCTGCTTCCCGGGGCTGTGCCGGTCCCTGTCCCCGCTCCCAGTCCCCGCTCCCCCTGTCTCTGTGCCCGGTCCCGCCCAGAGCCCGCACGGAGCAGCTCACGGAGCTCCCGCCACCCCGACCGCCGCTTGCTCTTGGAACAGGAGGGAAGGATGATTGAAAATCCATTAGTGAGTAATAAGAGCAACGCCGGACCATTCCCCAGTGGCGGGCTGACAGGGGCGCGGAGCTCCGCGGCCTCTCCCCGAGGGGACACCGAGCCGGGGACCGGCGGAGCGGGGCGAGATCGCCAGCGGATCCCAGTCCCGAGGGGAGACACGCGCGGGAGCCGGGGACGGGAGGGAGGGAGGGAGGGAGGGAAGATCCGCTCAGCCGGGGTCTCCGGCGGGGCGAGGGGAGCTCGCTGAGGGAGGGAAGGAGGGCGGGCGGCACTCACCGGCGGCGGGGCCCACGCCGCTCCCGGCGAAGGGCGGGCAGGTGCCGGGGCTCGGCCGAGCAGCCGCCCCGCTCTCCTGCGCACTGCGCCGGCCGCCACCCACGGCGGGCGGATAAAGCGGCCGGGCGGTGCCTCAGCCCGACCCGGGGTGGGAGCGGCGCCCGCCGCGGCCCCGCCTCGCCCGGGCGGCCCCGCCGTCTTTGTCCCGGCGCTCGGGGCAGGGCGTGAGGGAGGGAGCCCGATCCCGCCCTGAGGAGGGGGCGGCGGGCGCTGCGCGGCGTGAGGGGACCCTGGTGTGGGATAGATATAGGGGCCGTCAGGGCTCTGGAGCACCTCTCTTACGGGGAGAGGCTGAGGGAGCTGGGCCTGATCAGCCTCGAGAAGAGGCACCTGAGAGGAGACTTCATATATATGAGCATCTATGGCAAGAGGATGGATCCAGGCTCTGCTCGTGGTGCCCGGCCATTAGAACAGAGGGTGCCCAGCCCAACCAGTAGATCAACTGGCAGGTGGCAAAAACTGATGCCCAGGAAGTTCCACTCGAACGTGATGAAGAACCTCTTTATTGTGTAAGTGACAGTGCACTGGAACAGGTTGCCCAGAGAGTGTGTGGAGTCTCTCCCTCAGTGCAGATATTCCAGAACCATCTGGACACAGTCCTGTGCCATGTGCTCTGGGATGATCCTTCTTGAGGGGTGGACCACATGACCCGCTGTGGTCCTTTCCAACCTGACCCATTCTGTGCTCTGTGTCCCCCCTGAGAGGAAGGCGAGCTGGGCTCCGTGGTGGGCGCAGTGGGGGGGACAGTGACACCTTTGGCTCCCTCAGAGAACCCTGAGGTGAAACCCTTCCTGGCCCCAGTCACGCCCAGAGAAGCTGTGGCTGCCCCATCTCTGGAAGTGTTCAAGGCCAGGTTGGACGGGGCTTGGAGCAACCTGGTCTAGTGGAAGGTGTCCCTGCCCATGGCAGGGGGGTTGGAATGAGATGAACTTCAAGGTCCCCTTCCAGCCCAAGCCATTCTAGGATTCTGTGAGGGATAAGTTGTGTTGGAGCTGGTGTCTGAGGCATTTGTCCCTCTGCTAAGGGAAGCTACTGGGAAATGGTGAGGGTGAGAGATGGTAGAAAATGACTGTCCCAACCACCTGAGCCTGTGTCCTCAATGGGGAAAAGAGTTTGTATGCCTTGTTAACCGGTGCCACCCATATATTTAACAGCTCAATAACAAATATCACCTATTTGTCCTCTTATTTATTGCTAATATATCATCATACAGGTATTTATCAGGTGATGGTGTTCTCTCCCTCCTTCATTGTGCAAGGCCCTAGCAGCCATCAAATTAACAGTCTGACTTATGCTGTTAAAATTTCAAGCTGCCCTCAGAAATTGTTGTTTTTCATCCATGCTGTGGTGGCTGAAATATTCCTCGAGAAGGAAGTACCTCAAAGTGTGGAAGATGGAGATATTTCAAGAAGATGCAATTCTACCCAAAATAAATGGCGTAACAGAACTGGGAAGAGAGAGCAGCACAGTGTGGGTCAGTGAGGGCGGGACAAGATTAGACCATCCCCAATCCAATCCGTAGCTTTCTCTTGAGCATTCTCCAGAGACGCAGGAGCAGTGTCCAGGAGGAAAAGGGAATGACTGAGGTTCCAAAAAGAGAGTTACCTTAGGTAATTTTTGGTTCTGTCAAAGCTGACGTCTAATCTAAACTGCTTGGTCATTCTACAGCCAAGAGAGAGAGGTTATTTCCACCAGCTTAAGAGAGGTTGGACAAATCATGTTGTGAGGAAACACGTCTCCAGTGGTTGTGGGGTGGTGAAGCCCAGATGAGTTTTGCATGTCTCTCTTGACTGGAGGCCCAGTTTAGAGCTTGCTAATGTTCGTTAGCCCAAACGAATCCCACCTCTAGCTTTTATTCTTGGCTCTGCCAACAACTTGGTACAGGATCGTATGACTGTCCCATGTAACACCTGTCACACAACAGCACGGGAGAGGAAAGTGCCTTATTTCATCAAGGAGCAAAGTGGGAGTGGTGTCTACTGCATCTAGACGGCATTCACACCCTGGTTAAGGACAACATTTCTGCTCTGGGAACATTTCATTGAAGAATATACTTAAAGGCAGGCAGGTACTTTACCGATTTCCAGTGTGGGAACATCAATACGGAGATGCAAAGGGCTTTGAGATTCATCAGTGCAGAAAGTTAGACAACTTCAGTGCATTATTTTTACAATGTGTTTGTTATATGCTAACTCATCTTGCCTGAGCTAAAGCTCTCCTTGCTAAGTAGGACATCACCTTGAGGGAGATACTACACTTCCAGGGCTTTGTCAGCTCCACAGCGTTATTTTCTTCATTTCTCCATTTGCTCTCATCACCTTGTAATATCAGGTGTAGTCCCACATTAAAAATGTCCTCTGATGACATTTTTCTCCCCCAGGTGTGCCTGAAAGAGATTTTGGCCCTTTGATCATCAATTGTGTGGTTTTTTCCTTCTTTCCTCATTCCTCAACATTGCTGATAGTCCCAGACTTTATTCTAGGAGAGCAACTGTGTGTTGACACATTCTGTCCTGAAGGTGGGGAAATTTATGGAGCACAGTTCCAAGTACACAGCCCATTACTATGCATTATAGAGAACTTCCCTCCTCTGCTCTGTGAAAACTCGTTATACCAGTTTAAAAATATGTGAGGTATGCGTCTCCTTCCCCTAACATTAATCATTAATTAACATGTGATACTGACATTTCTGGTTGCCAATGTAGCAAAACAGTATTTTGTGCGTGTTTCCAATTTCTCCTATCGCACTCCAGCATCAGTGGAGTCTGACACATCCAGCTGTCAGAGTCAGCACAGTCGTGTGGGGAGCCCATTCTGAGCCCCTCTGGAGATGCTGCCCAATCCAGAGCCACGAGAACAGGGCCATGTTTGCAAAACTCCTCTTGCCAATCTGACTCCTTTGCTCCGTGTTACAGGCCAAAATTCGAGTTTCTTCTCACAGAACGTGCTTATTGTATTTACTACTGCAAATAGCTGAGAATAGACACACTGAACTAATCAAAGAGGATCTTATTCACCTGGTTTGGACTTCACAAATAGTTTTCATTTTTGGGTCTGTCTTTTTCTTTTTTTTTTTTTTTTTTTTTTTTTTTTTTTTTTTTTTTTTTTTTTTTTTTTTTTATTTTCTTTTCTCTCTGTATGTAACCTGGGTTTGATTAGAATTGGTAGGACTGAGAAGTCAGAAAGAAAACACAGACTGATGGAAAGCCATCTGCTATTGACTGGCCTTTCAGCAGGCTTTGAAAGCCCCACAGTCAAAATTCAGAGCTCCTTGTGCAGGCAGTGCATGTAAAGTAAAAGAACGACCCTGCTTTAGAGAGCTGGTAGTTTACAGCTCGAACACAAGACAACAGATGGACAAAAGAGGTAATAAATATGCACTGAGATGTGAGATAACCATGAAAGAAACAGGGTTTAGTCAAAGTGAAGGTCGGGGTACGTTTACGGTCATTATGGTTGACTTAGTGTTGTGATAAACACGGTGTTATCATGACTTGTTGTTTGGCTAAGAGTGGCCATAGGAAACCTCCAGACAAGAGTGGGGCTTGTTGTACAAAGTCCTGTCCCAACAGCAGTCACTGTTATTGTTTGCAGTCAGTAATCCCACACGAGATGTGCTTCATGACTGATTCATGCGCCTTCTCCTCGTGATTGACCGTGTCCCTTTTTTGGCAGGGCACTCACAGCCCAAGCCAGAGGGAGGCTTTGGTGTCACAGCACTCCTTGCTTTTCAGAGCCCAGCTGGCAGAAGGAATTTCCAAGCCAGCGAGATAAACTTACAGGAACCAAAACTTTGGGATTTGCCTGTGACTCAGCAGCAGGCAGATATCCCAGCCCAGATGGCACCGCTGCCTGTCTCGTGCCAGCTCAGTGGCTTTTGTTTTGTGGCCATTCAGGTTTGTGTAGGTTAAAACAAACAAGGCAAGATTGAAAGCTCCCTCCCCAAAGCTCCCTCCCCAAAACTCCCTCCCCAAAGCTCCCTCCCCAAAGCTCCCTCCCTCCTCCCTACTAAACTGGGCGGTGAGGTGGATGCGTCAGAAGTGACAGCCACCTTCCAGAGACACCCGGATGGGCTGGAATAGTGGGATAGCAAGAACTGTATGAGGTTTAGCAAAGACAAGAGAAGGTCCTGCTCCTGGGACAACATAACCCAACAACCCATTAGAGGCCAGGCCAAACTTGGAGTACTGTGTTCAGTTCTGGACTCTGCCATTCAGGAAGGACACAGATAGAGGGTCCAGAGGAGGTCTGGAGAACCTGTCCTGTAAGGAAAGACAGGAGTTAGGTCTGTTCTCCCTGGACAAGACTTTGGGGGAACCTCATCCCATCATTCCAGCACTTAAAGGGCTGGATGCTCTGTCTTCCCAGGGAGCCACATGGAGTAGGCAAGTGGCAACAGGTACAAGTTGCTCCAGGAGAGGTTTCATCTTTACATAAGAAAAACATTTTTTATGGTGAGAACAGTCTCTCACTGGAACAATCTTCCAGAGAAACAGGTAGAGTTGGAGGTTTTCAAGATGTGACTGGGCAGGGTGCTAGATAACCTCACCTTGGCTCCCTTCCCCATGGAAGGCTGGACCAGGTGATCCTTTGAGATCCCTTCCATCCCGGGCTGTTCTATGATGCTATGAACATATTTGGAAGGAGCTTCTACCTTTTCTTTACCCAGATGTTTTTGCGTTTGGTTTAGAGTATCATGGGGCAAACCCAAAACTTAGGTCGAGGAAGTCACGTAAAGCTGCAGAGAGCAACTTCCATTCCTCCCCTGGGTGATCAGGGTACACCTGTGGAAAGTGAGAGATGAGTTTGAACAATCTGGTGGTGCAGAGACAGTGGATTCTCCCAGATGGATGTTTCCTACACAAGCACTTGAGATACCATCGCTTGCTGTAAAAAACGGCCGAGATAGGATCTGTGGGGAGCAGAGACAGCCTGTATCTGGTACTCTCTAGGAATGCCTTGAGCATTTAGTCCTATTTGTGATTAAGCCAGAAGAATATCTGATTTCCAGGTTATGTTATAAATTAATTGAGAA